TTGTATGTTAGTTCTTTATATATATATTAATGTATGTCCATGTAATTATTCGTTCAATATAGAATACTTACCCAATGCCTTTGATTTAAACATTGTATATCATATAAAAATCTTCAACTTTTCAAAGTTTTGTATAAGTCTAATTGAGAATGAAATCGATTATGTATGCCCCATGATATTGTTTAGAAGTTTGTTGGCGGCTATGTTACAATATTATTCATAGGAACTGGTTTTGTTACATTCGAATACTTATGTGACACTAAAATGAACTCATTCTTGTGCTTTACTTGAGCAGATTCATGCAAGAGAGAATTATTTACATTAATATACATCATTTATGAGGTAACTCTAGTCATTATTTGGTATGGTAGTTCCCATGATATGATATGGTCACTGTGTTTTTAATATCATTTCAGTACATCAGTATTTTAATAATAAACTATGCAGTCTATTTTTAATTCTGTGAAAGATTTATCTTTTTTTTTATTTATAGATTATACGAACTAACACGGCTTCATAGTTGAATCAGAGCAACGTTCGAATTCTTTCATGAGCACGGAATTCAGTAAAGTACAATAGATAAATATCAATAAAGTTCCAACCATAGGAGTAACCCACACGATACCTTTGAATGCAGCTCTGCTTTACCCAGAGATAATTCTGAATAAATAGCGCATTTAAATTAAAAATTTATTGATTTGTCATAAATTGCAGTCTTAAATAAAATGCAAAGAGCACTAATCTTCATCATGACTTAGGCAACATAATGGTTCAAATTTAATTTCGTTGTCCACCGTCCATCGTGTATTTTCATTGTTCTCTTGTTTTTAAAGTTTACAAGCGTGACAGACAGACTAACATGTTAATTCATTTACATAATGAACAAACGGCCAACAACGCCGAAAAATATTTTCAGTACCGCTAATTGACTTCCAACGTCTCGTATATTTTAGTTGTACAGTTTGTGATATTAGTTATTATAGTAAAATGCCATGTGGATATTGCAGTGAGAAAACTAAGAGAATTTTGTTTGTGAGTAGCATATTACAGCTTTTGCAAACTAGCAATATAATTGACATATACAGGTATTGATTTTGTATAATAAATTTTATTTCTTTTCCAATAATGTGTGCAAATCTTAGAAACTTTACCAAAACTTTTATTTTATTTCTGAAAAGATAATACTATAGGTATTTTTAACAAATTATAAGTATTTATGTTAATTTTTTTTCTTTGAACATATTATTATTAGCACAGACATAGGCAATTCGGTAGTAAAAAGTTACAAGTTTTTAAGATGACTCCTGCGTTATATAGATACACAATTAAGTATATTAAAATACCAGTAGACATAATATACCTTATTTGAACTCCATTCTTAATATATCTGCTGATGTAGTGACGAAAAGTAGCTAAAGCATTCATGTAAGAATCTTGCTTACATCGACACATCAAGAGGGGTAACATTTTTCTTTTCATTGAACCTCTATCATGTGACAACGCTCTATGCCGATTTTTTTGCGGCATAACAAAGCAGATAAAAAGAGTGAGACAACAGATTAATTAGAGGCAATCAATTTAAATTTAACTGATTTTGTTTGGATGCAATTTACTTTGAACACAGATACACATAAACTATCTTATATTGAGTTCCGCCTTCGTCGGCATCATTAACATCATTGTCATTATCAGCAAACTTATTTTAAACTTTAATACAATACCACTATCATACTATTTTTTGCCAGCAGATGCTTAAATTTATACTTACCTAATTATACAAGAAAATTCTACTTACATTTAGGTAACAGTACCTAATTTTCGTATAGAAATAGTATACATCTATATGTATACGGTTTCTAATATACAAAAAACCAATAGCGCTCAATCAACAAACATCGCTGAACCAAGCCCTGTGTTTGGTCAGCGGATTTCCGTAAAAAGTTTCATTACAGTGTCTTCTTACAAATTACTTTGTTTATTGGTGAACTAAGCTGTATGTAAATTCGTTTGGTACTTTCTAATAATACCACTTTAGGCTAATTGTATTTACCAGGACGTAATGATGACATAGGAAAAATTCCGGGCTTAAAATAGTAGCAGAAAAGTGTATTATAAAATTTTCAAACGTCTTTTTGTTGAAAGATAGTTATGTCAGTAATAACTAGATGTTTCTTTTGATGTGAATAAGACATGCAGATAAGAGATTGCTTAGTGATATCTCGAGTGTGATTGTGCAATATTTTCACTAGAACGATATCTAAGATTATCTATGTTCTATGTGTAATATCATATCAGATAATAGAGATCGGTCTTTATCTTTAGATAACACTCTTACAGTTCACAAAATGCAAAGAAAAAAGAATTAAAATTTAATCCAAGACTAAAATGTATTATTATAAGATACCTGATTTTAAAAGTCCGTAAAACATCACCGGGTCTAAGACTTTGCCAGCTTACAATGTCCACGATTAGTATGGTCTACAATTTAGAAAATTATGCGGTTTGATGTAATTTTCTTAGAAGCGGAGAAATAAAAAAACAAATGAATGTGTATTTTGTTCATTAAGTTCACATGTCATGCGACATTCTTTTAGCGCCCACAGGTTTTTGCCCCGGGGCGGCGGCGGCACAGGACAGCAGACTCACGAAAACACACCAGATATTTATTTAGAGCTTACTCTTATATATATATCAATAAAATATTAATATTACGGTGTACTATATTAACAAATGAAGTGCCAACGACTTAAAAATTTATTGCAATGACCACAAACATATAAGCAGCTTTGGTTTTCTTTGAATAATATACCATCGTACGCAAAGTTGAACACAGCGATGCCATAGTACTCGTATTAGAGTTTCAATCAAATAAAATCTTTATTACTTATGAAGTGATTATTTTTGATTTCACCTCGAATCAGTGGCGGACTAACTTCACCAGAGCTCCTCCCTACTCGCGACTACTCGTACATTTAACTTTTTTATTGCGATTTTGGCGGATGGCGGCAGCCCATTTGGAGGCACTTCAGGAGCTCTATTTTTGATGCACTCGTTTAAAATCGCCTTGTCGTATACGACCTAAGTCACGCTCGACTTCTAAGTCGCATGATGCCGTTTGTAGTATTTTTGAATCGTCCGTCTGCAGCGTAGCCTACATGATTCGAAATATTTATATAAGTGTAATAAAGTAAAATATAATAAAAGTGTGAATATAAGCAAAATGATCATAAACGTCATTTATTAATTAATTAAAAAAACTTAGGGCCACATGTATGCCGGGACGATGCAAATAGGACAAGGGGTCGGCAATATTCAAAGCTGAAAATCGGCAAGCAAACTGCCGATTTTCAGCTTTGAATTAGCGTGGAACTAAAGATTTTGTATAAAACTAATGTGTGAAATTATAGGTTTTGACGTTTATTCTATCACTCGTATACAGGGCTAACAAAAACCAGTAGAAAACGAGCGCTCGACGCGAGACGAATGATTCAAAAATAGAGTTCCAGGACCGGACTTAACCTGTCCTACCTAGTCATAACCTACTTTTGTATCAAATCAAATCTATGCTATCAAATAACCGTTTCATCTATTTTAATCTCTCACCTAAAGTTGTTTATTTATTTATCCTCTCTAAAATTGCACACAATATCCTTTATATGTAGTTGTTTTTTTCGTCAAAGCTTCCTGGGTGAGATTGCTGCTAATAAGGTCGTAATTGATTTTCCTATAAGCTGTCTATTATATTGAGTGCAATAAAGTGTAGGTATTATGTTTTATTTCACTGTGAAAGTATAACAGTGAAATAGTTTTACATACTTCATAGCAGATACTTGTTGTCTCTTGCCAACTGGAACATAGAATGTACCTAAACGCAATAATAGCATTTTTATTAACAAAAACTCTACCTTGACATGGTTGACTAGACGTTTTTATCTATTCTTATATTATTTATTGTTAGATCATCTAAGAATTAAGTTTATTGTGTCATCTGATGTAGTCCGGTGGCATCGGCTAGGCGAAAAATCTGTAAGTTATTTATTTATTTAATTCTTCATTTTATACAATCAGATCTGACGCTAACACCAACGACTAATAGTATACATGTAATCGTAGAAACAATCAAATGTAATTTAGACTTTTGCAGATGAAAAAAAAGAATTAAAATGTAATAGTTTCGGAGGCTTTTCAGTGCAAACCAACAATTCTATATTTGCTCTTAATAATATTAATATAGAAATACAAATAGGCATGTAGTATTTCTATACTTACATTCAAGTAGGTATCTCAAAAAAAAAATAAAGATGAAGAAAATTCTCAAATTACCGATTTAATATAAAAGAGGTAACACCGGGCGGGAATGGGATTATTTATCAAAGTAATCAAATTTGTTAATGTACAGTCAATAGCACAAAAGGTATACTAATTTCTCCACAAGATTTTATACCTTAATGTTTTGCGAGTAGAGTTTAAAATCAACTGAAGAAAATTGACATATTGTGGTAACCAGGCATGCTACCATACTTTCCACGTTGTCAGGCCCCCTGGTCTCGAATTGCGAAACGTATGTTCGTTCCCCGTCCGTCCTGTCAAAGGGAATCGCTTTAGTTATTGAGCGTGTTGTCGGAACAAGGTATACAATATATGTTGCCTAATATTATAGTTAAATATTTATTAAGTAATGCTATTTGGTGTTGATTCAAGTGGAAGTAATTAATGGTATTAGTGATACTGTGGTGTTTGTTCTCATCTGGTAATAAAATACCAAAATCGTTATGAAATATACAAAAAAATAACTAAGCCTGCGAAGTTTGTGACATTTTTTATTTAATAATTATATAACCTATGTATAAACGTACATAGCTGCAGTTTTACTCTGTTAAAAATACAACATCGTCACGTCATAGAGGTTCAATCACAGAACAAGAAAAGAGGGTTCAATCAAATTAAACCTACGTAAAAAGGTAATAAAGGTTTTATTTAATTGAAACTTTATGACGTGACAGCGTTCAACGATGACTTTCGAGGTTGTTTTTAACAGAATAGAATAGCTGTTAATGCAACTTTACGCTGAAATAAAAAAAATTAAAAATATAATTAATAGAATGGGTCTTTAGTTTTTGACTATTTCCATTGCAAATAAAAATCATTTTTTTTCCTTTTTATAATCTACGTAATGCTTAAAGCCTGTCGCTTATTACAGCTGATAATGAAGATCATCGGCGAGCTAGCCCTGCTCGGGGCTATTGCTTCCGTGTTTATCGTGGCAGCTCAAGGTCGTGCAGCAGAGAGGCAAGCTGAAGAGGCAGCTGGAAGGCAGTACATGAGGAAGCTAGATGATCTCACATCTAAATCCAAAAACAGACTGGTCATAGCATCGTGGAACTATGAGAGTAACATCACAACTTACAACCAAGAGCAGATGGTGAGGTTTTTTAAGTTAATGGGCATAAATATACTTTTATTACAGCCATAAGAAACTTAGGGCTCTATGAAACAGCTGCTTTTTACATATGCTAAAAAATCGTATTGAAAATGTAAATTATACGAGCCCAATATTATTTCACAGCTACAAATTTCATTGGAAGTAGCTGAAGAAGAGAAGGAGTCTTGGAAAGAAACAATGAGCTATCTCTGGCATGAGTTTGAAGACGCAGACTTGAAAAGGATGTTCGAAAAATACTCACGCTTGGGAACATCAGCCCTACCTGAGGACTTGAATCAACGGCTCATACAAGCCGTGAACAACATGCAGACAAATTATGCAAAGGCTACCATATGTGACTACAAAGATCGCACTAAATGTGACCTACATGTGGAACCTGGTAAGGATCACGGATGTAAAATTGCTTCTGGCTACCGGGCATTATGTAAAGATTTATCACTGATGTGGAAGAGTGTCATCAAACTTGTTAGCATTTTACGTTTCACTGAGTTATCTAGAGTAGTCCTATCTTAAAATGAACATTTAATATTACCGGACTTCGTTATTGTCTGTCCTGATCTAAACTTATGTATTTTTGAATGTCATCTGGATAGAACTTTTTTTTTTCCAAAATTGGTATTCCGAGTACCATTGCTGGTTAGTCGTACAACTTCCACATACAAAGCAGCCACCTATTATAGCTTCAACCTCTAATCACCTGCCTTAACGTTTAATACTTATAAATACCATGTTATAAGGCTGATTAATTTAACATAATATTTACCAATTGTTACTATACAATAAGCATTTTATTACAGAGGTCACAGATATATTTGCAAACAGCGAAGATCCAGAAGAATTGAAGTACACCTGGATCGAGTGGCACAAAGCTGCGGGTGCTCCATCCAGAGGCAACTTCACCGAGTATGTTGAAATGGACAACGAAGCTGCCAAGCTAAACGGTAGATTATCCCACCTTATGCAGATAACAAAAAATATTCAATGAATCCCAGGACCCTTATAGGTTCCGTGTTCACATAAACTAAGATGTTGATTGTCTTTTTAATTAAGAGGATTGTGTCCTATAGTATTGTATTGAGGGTAGCTATACTCATAATTACTTACTACTTAATTGCTTAAATGGTTGTCTGGGTCAACGCTGAAGTGAAAGCATTTACACTTTGTTCTGTTGTTGTTGTTGTTTGAGGTATGATGATTCAGAGTCAAACGTCGATACAGGCAATATATATTAACTAAAGAGAATATTTCACTCTCTCATTAAAAATAATACTTAGATGAAAATTTCTCTATCTCTGAATACCCGGGTTCAATTCCTGGTGTAGGGCCAGTGATGAAAATTAACTTTACCATGCGAGACAATAAAAAATATGTCTGGGCAGTGCTGATGGTATCTTCACTAATTCAGATTATATGTTAAAGTGTTGTCTGATTGCATCTTTCACAGGTTACGATACAATGGCAGAGTATTGGTTGAGTGAATATGAAATGAAGAACGAAGACGAATTTGCTACCTTGTGGAACCAGATAAAGCCCCTGTACCAGCAAATACACGCCTATGTTCGTAGGAAATTGAGAGAGAAATATGGTGAAAGTGTTGTATCAGCTAAGGGGCCAATACCTGCTCATTTATTAGGTAAGAACTAAATTGACAAAATCACCATAGAAATGCTGACCATGAAAGTATTTAAATTATTTCTTTTTCAAACTTACTTCATGTAATATACAAAATCTCTATTTATTGGTTACTTTTTACCCGACTACAAAGGAAAGGTTATGTTTTTCGCGCGTATCTTGTATGTATGTATGTAATATCTTCTGAACTGCTGAATGGATGTATATAATTAAGGTATTGTTAGATTTGTCTTAGTAGCCCAAGTGTATTAGATAGGTAAAGTTAAAAAAATATGCCGGCTATGTGACGCCATAATATTAAATTATAAAAAAATATTTCAAATATTATATGGGTATTAAATTAAAGGGCTGGTAATTTGTCTAACTCAAAAGACACACCTAAATAGAATTATAATAAAAATGAAACAAAAAACTTGCCTGCATTAAAAACAACTAATTGAAAAAAAAGGTTGAAAAAAGATAACAAAAATATGCAACAACATGCAGTCGGGTGCATGAAATTGGATAATAATTCAAATCAGTTTTTTGTGCATGCCCCCAAGTGCATTTTATGTATGAAGTTGCATAAATTTATTATCTTTTTCCAGCCTTTTCAGTTAATTGTTTTTCACGCAGGCAGGTTTTTTTGTTTTATTTATAATATATATTTATTTATTAACTACGTAAATTTTGCATTCATATATGTCACTGAGAGCTTGGTAATTTGAAAAGTTTTTGTTAAATATAGTAAGCCAAAATTACCTTTAGGAATATTGATATTTTACAAGAGTTGCTATTTACAAATTAATCTTTCATATTTCTTAAAAGATTTGTAGTCTCATAATTATTTTTATCATCAGTTTTTTATTATGTTGAAAATTTAAAGGTTTTTACTTTTTTGATAGTTTTTTTTAGAGTATTCGTAATAAGAGCCATCCTTTACAGGTAATATTTGGGCACAAACTTGGGGCAACGTAGAAAAGTTCACCAAACCTTATCCAGGGAAACCAGAGGTTGATATCACTGCTGCCTTAATAGCTCAGGTACAAATATTCTTTATTTTCATTGTATATTCAGGTTTTTCTCTCTTAGCATAATTATTTACACGAATGCTGGATATATATCCAGCAATAGGCATATGTCTATTGGTAACTTTTCCATCTTGCTCTGCTTACGGTGATTCTGTATCAGGTCGGCCCCGCCATCTTTTTTTATAGTCTGACCATCTAGCTGCCTACACTTCTTTTTCCCATTCGGGACCTCCACTGTAAACACTCTTGGCTCCATCTATCATCATCTCTACGGCACACGCGGCCTGCCCATTGCCATTTAGGTCTCGCTATCCTTTCACCTATACTGGTTTCTTTGGTGTGTTGGCGGATAATGTTGTTTCGAATCCTGTCCCGTGAAAAAATAGCAAAGCGTAATGCGTTCCATTGCTCTTTGGGTGTCATTAAGTCAATGTACCATGCCCTCAGTCAGAGTCTATGTTTCTCAACCGTTAGTCATTGGACTGGTTGTAAACTCTGGGCTTAAGGTTTTGAGGGGTATTGCTTTGGAATATGTAGTTCAATTTACCGAAAGCGGCCCATCCAAGGTGCACTCAAGACTCGTTAGACTTCAATTCAATTTTATGTCCAATTTAGGTGTAATGATTAGACAATGTTTCAAGTTTTCAAATCTATATGTTCTTGTAAGTACTGTTAATACTTACAAGAACATGTAGTTTTGAAAACTTGTACTTTTAATATATGCAACAAAAAGTTGTTAAGTACATATCAATTTTGCTTAGACATTATAAAGATATATATAAAGTAATCAATCAAGAATTTATTCCTTTAAAAAAAGTTTAAAATTTAAAAAAAAATATATATAGTTAATGTAGAGAATTTAGAAACATTAATTTTCTTATTATTATACTCTAACAATAAATGTGTATTTTCCAAGAGTATTATCACTACTGATATTTTAATGTCTCTACTTATTACAACGAGGTTTCGATGGCTAAATGGTTAATGTGTTCAGTATGCAATGGAATTTAAGAAACTTTCGCAAAGGTCCATTATAGCATGGATGACCAATGGCTCACTGTTTCGAATTATTTCCTACTTAGGAAGGCAGTAAAGCCGTTTATCCCAGCTGATAAGAAGTCCTTAAAACAATCCGATTTTAAAAAGTAGATTAGAGTCCGTTCTTACAATTTTATTCTATGGTTATTCCTTTTCAGAATTACACCCCACTTAAAATGTTTCAAACTGCTGAAGAATTCTTCACATCACTCACTTTAAGTGAAATGCCAGAATTGTTTTGGGAAAGGTCTATATTGGAAAAACCTAATGATGGTAGAGATATGGTGTGCCATGCTTCCGCTTGGGATTTTTATGATGGTGAAGACTTTAGGTAAGTTTCTAATACAATATTACACATGGAAAAGGTATTTAGCATAAGAATGGTGGGTAAGCAGGAAGGTAGGTAGGTGGTTATATTGGTGATGGCAACTGTAAGGGAGAGTAAAGGGTGATGCTTGACTTCCAAGTTGGGAGTTGTTATCCTCTATCCTTATTTTTGTTCACAAAACGAACATTCTAAGCACGATGAAGGTAGCATAATCTTATAACTGTGTAACGTAACTTAGAATGATATATACATAAATCATACTATTTAGTATTCGCTTTCATACGAGGGTCAAACTGAAAGTTCTTAGAAAATCAAAAACTGATTACATTAGCCAGTTATTAGTTTTATTATATCTTTTCAAAATATTGTCCATTCACGTCAATACACCTGCTGCATGCGATGGAACCACTGGGAAAAGCACTTTGCCCACTCGTCCTTAGGGGTCTCTTCAATGGCATCGCGATACGCAGCCACCGCTTCTTCAGCATTCATAAACCGCTTTCCTTTAAGTTTTTCTTTAATTTTTGGAAATAAATAAAAATCACAAGGCGCGAGGTCGGGGCTATACGGCGGGTGACCCAGTAATTCAACGTTTGATGTCGCCAAATAGTCGATCGTTCGCTTGGCGGTGTGCGACGAGGCGTTGTCGTGGTGAAGGAGGATCCTACTGCGAGGTCGTTTCTCTCGAACTTTTTCCAAGACAAGTGGCAAACAATTGGTAGTGTACCATTCTGCAGAAACTGTTTTTTGATCCTCTAACACAATTGTTGCAAAATGACCTATCCTTCCAAAGAACGAGGCCACCATTTTTTTTCCCGCACTTCGATCTCTCTTCACTTTAGTTGGCAACTCCTCGAAAGGAAACACCCACTGAGCAGATTGTCTTTTGGTTTTAGGATCATAACAGTAAATCCAGCTTTCGTCACCTGTTAGTATGTCGAACACAGCATTTGAGTCACCTCCGTTAAATCTTTCAATCATTTTACGACACCAATCCACACGATGGAGTTTTTGAGCCTCAGTCAAATTATGAGGTATCCACCGGGCGCAAAGCTTCCTGACCGCTAAATGTTCGTGGAGGATTTTGTGCACTTGACTCATACCGATGCCTAAGCTTGTCCGAATCTGTTGATAGGTCACTCTTTTGTCAGTCTCTATCATACGCCGCACAACACAGATGTTATCTTCAGTCGTCGCCGTAGAAGGCCGTCCCTCACGTAAATCATCAGTGAGATTAGTGCGACCACGTTTAAACTCATTAAACCAGTTGTAAACAGTCGCACGAGATGGGGCTTCATCGTGAAAGGCCAATCGTAGTCTATCATAACTTTCTTGTTGACTTAAATGACATCGAAAGTCATAAAAAATCATTGCACGAAAATTTTCTCGTGTTAAATTCATGATGACGTGACACAGACAATTTTCAATTTGCCGCCAAATCGTAAAACAAATGACAAATGAATGAAATATATACTCAGTAATATTGGCAAAGAGTTATATTTTCAAATTTTAGAATTATTTTTTTATTATATTGTTTATAAGTGGCCAGTTCTAAGAACTTTCAGTTTGACCCTCGTATTAAAAGCAATAGTATTGTGGTAATTAAATCTGAATATAGCTGATATCAACATTCCTACAAATGACTAAAAAATGTATTTCAAATAGTAAATTATATTTATTAAATAACACCATAATAAGCTAACATAATAAACTTTTTTTTTGTAACATTATTTATATGGAAACGCCAATATAAGTTTCCTTCTTGTAGGATCAAACAATGCACCACAATTACGAGTGAATTTTTCACAACAACCCATCACGAAATGGGTCACATACAATATTACCTACAGTACAAAGATCAGCCCGTCATCTATAGAAGTGGAGCAAATTCCGGTAAATAAATTCTTATTATTTTAGGATAAGGCAATGTACTACTATCACAGGTGCTTTCTTCAAGACTACACACCATGAGATGGGTCACATTCAGTACTATTTACAATATAAAGATCAGCCAGTTGTCTACAGGAGAGGAGCTAACCCGGGTTAGTGTTCTATAGTATCTCTCTCTCTAGCTCTCGCTGAGTACTGTAATGTATGAACGTTCTGGAGATATGAGGTGAGGTATAGATAGATATAATATTCTTTATTGTAACACGCAAAGACAAAATACACTTACATGACGAAAACAGGAGTCCTACAATTGGCGGCCTTATCACTAAAAGTGATCTCTTCCAGGCAACTTTGGGATGGAGTTAAATATAAAAGACCTAATGATGGGGTAGTAGATGGTGTACATATAAACAATTTATAAATATATATAATAGACGATTGTTATTTCCTTAATTATGATTTAATTTTTATAATAGGTCTATTATAAATATACTATAATATAATAACTATTATCATATAAAATATTATATATATCGCACACCTAGATCTAAACTAAGACAAATGAAAAAACGAATGTGGAGGTGTGACAATACATTTGTTTACGTGGCAGGAGCGCGACCACTGTTGATTCAACAAAAGAAAGCTGAAGTTATCTAGCGGCTCATCCCCGAACCTTTATTGAATCTGTTATGTTGGATAGATGCGTATGATCACCGGGTATTTGAATATTGTACTTAAGTCAAAACTCACTCAAATTTTTGAGTTGTCCCAGTTTAGATCTAGGTGTGCGATATATAAACACATAATGCCTATTTACTTTCATGGACAGGTAGTGCTCTCTGACAAGTTCCCTAAATATATTAAGAGAATTAGTTTTTCTAATTGACAAAGGTAGCACATTCCATAGGCATTTCATTTATTACCAGATACGTACATTACATTACTAGGAACAACAAAACATGTGTCGCTTTCTTAGTATTATATGAATTGTTCCATTGCTTCAAAATAATCTTTGTAAAGATTGATTTACTGAAAACCTAATAATGGATAACTTATAGGTTTCCATGAGGCTGTTGGTGATGTAATTGCCCTCTCTGTGTCATCGCCGAAGCATTTAAGAGTGATGGGACTGTTGGAAGATGGAGCTGATGATCAGGAGTCTAACATTAACCAGTTATATAAAATGGTAATTTTAAAAGCGTGGAATGCTTACATATAAATAATATGTACATATCTATCAGAAATACCGAGATTTTGTTTTCTTTTATACACACACATATTTAGACCAAATTATAGTTTAAAATGATGTATTCCCCAGGGCTTGGACAAGATAGTGTTCCTTCCGTTCGGGTACCTCCTGGATTTGTTCCGTTACAGCGTGTTCCGTGGCATTACCACTCCCAGAGACTACAACTGCCATTTTTGGCAGCTCAGAGAATCTTTGCAAGGAGTTGAACCTCCAGCGCCAAGATCCGAGGACGACTTTGATCCTGCTGCAAAGTATCATATTTCTGCTGACGTCGAATACATGAGGTGGGTCTGCAGAGATTTATATTATGTAGTCATACATTTATTGATTCCATATCAAACAAGAAATGAGTATAAATAGGTGTATAAAGCGACCGCAACAGTTACATAAAGGCAATAAGAATAACAACATTTATGGATGACAAATTTAAATATTTCATATAAGTGATTGGGCCATTGCATTAAAATGGAATGAAGACGATATGTAAAATATAATACTATATACTCGTATTTTTTTTTAAATTTTATAAGATTATGATGGAAAGTGACTTAATATTTTTATGAAGTAATTTTTCAATCTTGACGACTCTGTATGAAATAAAACAGAAAAGGAGCCCTTGCCGAGTTTCGTGCCGGTTCTTCTCGGTACAAGGTCTCCCGCCGTAGATTTACGAACCGATGGCATAGAATTTTGATTTTCACAAGCTCGTAAAGCCTAGACTGAATAAATGATTTTGATTTGTTTTATTTTATTAAACATGAGTCTATGTTATAATTATTGATAAATAGGTGTTATATGTTTTAGATACTACGTGTCGTATATTATTCAGTTCCAATTCCACCGAGCACTGTGCCAGCTCGCCGACCAGTACACCCCTGGCGACAGCAACAAGACCTTGTCCAATTGTGATATTTATAGAAGCGAAGAAGCAGGCAAAGCGTTAGGGTGAGTACTGACAACGTTAATCTGGAAACTTGATCTTGATTCGTAGAAAGAAATCTTTTCGTTATGGTTATTTTGCTGATTCATATACTCCATACGTGAAAAAAGGCTTACTATCTTTACCACTGGTGTGCTACCTCCTTAAACCTCATGTCACTTTCATAAATAAATAGGTATAAGATACCATCACATACATTGCTTATAATCCAAGATGAGACAACGTACCACAACACCCAGACCCGATGCAAAAAAGAAAAGTCCATTTTCTACATTGACCCGACCGAGGATCCAACCCGATATCACAGAGGCACCAACCTTTCATCACCCCTTTGACGTCCCGACTGCAGACGCCCAGGCTTTCCTTATGGATGGTTAAGGAGGATGGGCTATGCATGACTTTCTCCACGCTGGCCCAAACCGGATTGAAGGGAATTTAACAATTGCGAACGTGACTTCCTAAACACGGAGTAACTCGAGATAATAATTTTTTGGTCGTCCATCCCGTGACCGACCCTTACGAAAGTTGCTTAACAGCAACGTCTGCGGGCCGCGATGCTTATCCACTACGCCACCGAGCTACACCAATAGTAAATACATAAAAATATGTTTAATTTATCAGTACAGTAGTAACTATGAGTAAGAACAATGACATACCCACGCGTATAAAAAGTTTACGCGTGTTTTTGATTACAGCAAAATGCTACAGTTAGGATCTTCGAAACCCTGGCCAGAAGCGATGGAGATGCTGACGGGCCAGCGTAACATGGACGCCAGTGGGGTGCTGGAGTACTTCCAACCTTTGTACGATTGGCTCAAGGCTGAAAACGAACGGACTGGTGAATTTATCGGCTGGGAAACCAGTACAGTCCGTAAGTAACAATCTAACTTACAATTTTCTATTGAAATGTAAACTATTGACAGTTGATATATCCAAGTGTTATAATAACAATAGGTTTATTTGTATGCTTCTCATTTCCATAAGCAATTATTTCGTCTATTTGAGAACACATTTTAAAAAAATTTACCCCAAATCAGAGAGAATCGCGCAAGGTACGATATTTACATAGTTTTTCTTTCCATTTAGGTACATAACTATTTTCGTGGACGCTCGCGAGGTTTTTATAGCTTCTAACATCACTATTTCTATAATCAAATTGATCGTGAAAGGTGTCCACTTTCTACACTTTTTCATTTACTGCAATATTCGTTTTGTTGTTTTATCATTCGGCATTATTTCCACATACTCGAATCAATAACAATACACAGAATTATAATTATTATTATAACGTATTCAACGCATTATTGGTCTATTAACAGCGCTATATATGGACATAGGAGGAACAACAAAACTGATATAGGATGAGACGTCATAGGATGAATACGGAACAACCCATATTGATACACATACATATCAATTAAATTTCACCAGTTTTTCTGAAACAGTCGAACTTCCGTAATTTTTTAGATTTTTACATTTAATTTTTATGATTATGATTAAAGTAGCTATCAAGTTGCTAGAAATAGCTACCAGACTTTATACAATAAAGTGAATTCATACTTTAAAAATTAGTAAAATGAGTGTCTTTTTGCCTTTATAAAAATATAATATTTTCTTTAACAGAATATTGCACCCAGGAACAACGCATGTCAATGGATGAAGTTGGTTTCAGTGCCAAGCTGAAGAAGTACGTTGGACCTTAAATATAAGAACAGGATTGTGAATAAATTGACTGTTATTTATTTTGAAGTTTGTTTCTATTTCCACACTTAGGGGGCGTCCATAAATTACGTGAGATGTTTAAGGGGGGGAGGGAGTCGAGTCAAATCTCATCTAATCTCACGTTGGAGAGAGGGGGGGTCTCGGCAAATATCACGCAATTTTTTCAATAAGGCTCGGTGCGGGGAATCCCTCATAGAGTGACAAATCTAAGGTTAAGATCATTCACTAATTCGTTGGAAAGAAAATAATTTCATTCGTACTTTGACATTATACATCACTCCTGATTGTCAAACCACTATACTCGTTTTATACCAAATAGCTCAATTTAATTTGAATTTACGGTACAATGTAGCCCGTCCTTTGTTTTCGCGCCACTGTCTGCTGAACATATGACTCGATGAATGAGAGCAATATGGATTACTAGTCTCTAACTAGTCGTAAATAAAAGTACGAAGCGAATTTTTTTTTCTTTTTATTAAAAAATCCAACGTGAACCAAAAAACCCACTTTTTGAAAAATCTCACGTGAGATTTGGGGATGGGGGAGTGGATTGAATAAAATCTCACGACATCTCACCAGGGGGGGAGGGAGGGTCAGAAAATTTGAAAAAACACCTCACGTAATTTATGGACGCCCCCTTAGCTTAAGATATCATGTGTCGTAGTTGCTCCTGTAAAATATCCTTTGTGCTCCCGAATGATTTTTTTTGTAGAGTATGCGTGTTCTTCGGACACGGTTATGGAAGATCATTTTTCATTAAATATATATATTTTAGAGTATGTTACACACGTATTTAAACTAAAATGTCTCTATTTTATTACAAGCTTTTATTTAACTTGCCTTGCTAGTATGTTAGTACGCCAATCTGGAATTCGAAATAAATTTTTCATAGACAAGTAAGTCAGATGACAAAGCAATATTATGGTGTCAGTAAGCTGACATGATGATGAAGTCAGAAGGTGGTCGTAGGAGCTTGGTGATGAAAGCGCGTAAAAAAGATGTATATTTCCTCGTCTCCGATTTCATTAGCGTAACAAGTTTTTTAAGTCAACAACTTTTAGAGAAAATTTTGATTATAAGAATTTCAAATATTTACAAGTATAATTTATTTATTTACGTTTTAGTGAGCCCAATCAAAGCTTGTTTTTTTTTAAATAAAAAAAATATTTTTATTTTCATTTCATTGTGACTAATTTTGGCTGTATTATCATTTGGCAATGGTGGACACAGAAAATTAATTATACGGTAACCCTTGGATAGGCGATACGCTGTCACCAGTAATTCAATAAAAAAAATACAATGAGCCAAATATGAAACGCAAAAGAACTATTTTCTCAACAGGATATCGGAAAAATCAATAGTCCCTAATATTAACAAAAGCTACGCCTGGATTTCTTAAGTCCAATGACGCATTATAGTGACAAGTTAGTTGAATGGCAGGAAGTATCACAATGAGTCGTGTAATCGCAGCCCTGACCCGGCCAAACAAGTGGATTGAAAAACTGTTACGTGACTAACAGTGCATATTTATGGTGATTTAGGAAAGAAAGGAAAATAGCAAAATTTGAAAAATGTATTATCATATCTTTAGAAATTTGTTGTTGGAAACCAGGCAATGTCTACATTCATCATGCAGTTATGAAGTTATTTCAATCAAGTCTGAGGCAAAGTCGCTTAGTCTAAGTTTAGATTTAAAAAAATAGTTTGAAGTAGTGTTTTAAGATAATATGAACCCACCAAAAACATTCCAATGTTATATGACTGGCCGTTGAACATTTTTTACACGTTAATGGGTATAGTTCAACGGCCAAGTCACGTAACATTAAGACCCCTTTTCATTAACCTAGAACAAGGCGTAGCTTAACGGGGTAACGCCTAATATTCGAATTGCCTTATCATATTAGTTAATTTCCAAATAATTATTTTTTTTCTTTTATCTCTTGACATATATATGGCCTGTCATATACGCAAACGCCTGGCGCAAGGCGTCGTATAAGGAATATCATAATTATAGACATTACTTAATTATGTTAAGTGGTTCCCAGTCAAAGGTGAAATGCATTTTTACCTTAGGTGATTCCTAAATATTTAGGCTACAGATTTATAAAATGTAATGATAATCGGAATACATCGCAGCAAAATGTCGTCAGAATTGTCAGCTCCAGTCTTACAGGTAACGTATAATTAACTAGCAATTTGTATACGTTTACAATATTCATAGAACGCACTTCTTTTGCCTTTAGGTGCTTATTAATTTTATGACGAATCCTTTATGTTCTCAGACAATAATTATAAAAAATTCAAGGCAAGTTCTTGGTCAACTTAAATGATATATATTGTGTGAACAAGGCGTTAGCGACTGAGGATTTTTTGTAATACTTAATGTTTTTCACAATTGAAACGATCATAATTATTGATGACATGACGTCAGTTAATTTTTGGGATATAAATTACTTAGTAAATGTAATCTATTTCCTATATTCCGTTTTTAGTCTCACCAAAAAGTCAAGGGCAGGTAGATTGTTTGGCTTATTTTAAAATATATGAATAAATAATAGTAAAAGCAAAATTTATTTTTTTACGTTAATTTTTTCAAACTGGTGTGTTCAGAATTAATTTTATTGATTTGACAAATTCTTTAATTCTGTTCGAAGTTCGCCATGTCAGCTTATAAGTACTAAAATAAACCTCTAAAAGTGGAAACTCTAAAGTTAAGTAAATGCTCAAATTAACTAATGTTCAAACAACTACTAATTTTTGATGCATGAATTCATCTACACCTTTGGGTTGCGTTAAAACTACGGACTTATTATTATAGCATAAATTAAAATCAAATGAAAATGATATTTTAAATATCGAATACCCTGATATGCTTTTCTGAATTTAAAGTTCAAACACATTTGATGTTAAATGGGCCTTAAAAATGAGACTTGTCAAGTTTAATTTTTCTTTCTCTAGGCCTCATACTATATATTTGTCTATATGAAATAAATTTTTATATAGAATTAATAGACTGGCAATTATGTTTTACTCAAGTTTAAGAATGCGAATTAATGTATAAGCTACGAGTATTTTATAAAATTAGTATTCTAAAAAGATTCTTTGTACCATATATGGAAATATATTTAAACAATAATTAACTTCAAATAATGGTTTCACGTTATCAAATCAAGTCAAAATTATTTATTCAGTCTAGGCTGTTACAAGCACTTGTGAAAGTCGAGTTAGTTTAAACATACTGCTTAATCGAAATATCTGGTTATTTAATTTATTTCAATATGTGCAAACTGGACTCTTTCACGTGCATTGGCAAAGAGATGAGCTTAATATATGGATAAATAAATTATTGACAATCTAATCAAACACTTCAAAAAAAATATTATAAAGTAACTGAATTACAACATTCACACGCAACAAACATTTGAAGTCTCATTAAATGACAGCTTGTATAAGGTGGGATCTAAATAAAAGAGTATACTGTTATTAGGTTTTGCAAATGATTTGGAACAATGTTTAGAAGTTGAGCAAATATAAGCATATTTTTAAAGGAGGCGGCATTTTAACAACGGTCAAGATGCCTGTGTCACTCAAACTTAATGTTAATCGCGTTACAATGATTGCGTATCTTACAGGCTTGGTTATTGGCAGCAAACTTTTTAAATAATTATTTGATATAAATTGAAAAATTTTAATATGATAAATATTTTAAAACTACAAAGGCGATCAACAACTTTAAGACCACTACGAGTACTTAAAAATAAACTGGGTTTTTTAAGATTTTTCATTAAGAGTAAAGTTCTATTTTAAAAACATTATTATTCTGTACTAAGTTAACACCATATTAACGTCACATGTATTCAAATAATACGATTATTACACAAACGGCGCAAACACTTGAGAATACGTCGGTCAAATAGATAATTTATTGAATTATTCATAGTGAAACCATAAAATAATGAAAAAAAATAAACAATTTGCCTAATTTCATACTCATTTATTCTAATTATTGTTCTAAAATCTGTCCAAATTCTTTTCTTCAAGTAATAATATTACAATTTTTGGCACGTAATCCTATTGTCAACTAAATGATCGGCGAAGGTTTAAGACTGTGACATTCAAAATGGTCTATTTTAAATGACGTCACTTTTGCTAGTAAACAAATGACGTTTGTGACCTCGGAGATGACTAATGGTGTTCTACTTTGATAATGGACTGTGATGATTTAGAACCATGGAAGTCTCCGTCTTAAGAAAATGAAAAATTGATCCAATGAACCTGTGACAAGTTTAGGTTATTATCTAGTCGTTATGGATTATTATTTCCAGAGATATTAGATATAAGATAAGATTTCCTATGTTTTAATTGCATTAGTTACTTTGAGTTATTTTTGATGACATCCGTGGGTGAGTGGAACATGCGCAAGTTGTTGGTGTGGGTGTCCCAAGTGTCGCAGAATCCAGGTTTATCTCTTGGTCAGGTAGTTTCTTTGTTTTTAAATTTTGCTTTGGGTACTTGACCTGGAAACTTTGCGACATTGTCTAGTTTATATTATTATTTTTTAAGTTTTAGAATTATTTATATAATTATAATAAATAATGCTTCAATTTGTTTAAAATAATGTTAGAGATAAATAATATTATGGGCGATAGGGACTTTTCGGGGCATTTTAGTAACGTTATACCTGTGTATATTGTTATAAACACAGTTAATATATATAATTTACTTTGAACAACCCACGCTATTGATCCTTTCATTGAGCTCGCTTACGTAGAACCTTGACCCAACTTAAACGCGAAACCTCTAACTATACTAATTGTACTAAAATTCGTGCTTTCACACTTTTGAAATTTTTACACATGGAAGGAAGGAACAACTCATATCGAATAACTTCATTACATAGCCTATAAAATCTTTATTATGCTCCCGGAATTGAATCCTAAAATATTTTTATACAGGTTGTAACATCAAGAAATGTCGGTATAGGCAAGTCTGCAACTATAAGAATTTTATTTA